CCACATCAATTAAGGGCTTAGACGTGCAATGGACCAGACATTTGTAGCAGCATGCTGTTGGCGTTATTTGCTCTGAACTTTGATGTGGCTAAAAAGTAGGGTTGATATCGTACTTTCCCACTCATTGAAATTCAAGTACATCCTGGATATTGCTATTTGTGAGCAAAACATGGCCACGAACAGTGTGAACAAATCACGTCAAAAGCTGATCGATCGTGAGTAAGCCCTATCCAAACACGAAATGTTTGGCGACCAAACACCATCAAACATTGTTTGGTGACCACACATTTTACCGTTTGGCCACCTTCTTTGGTGTTGTTTGATCGTGTTTGATCGTGTTTGGTCGTGTTTGATAAAATTTGAAGGCCATCAAACATTTGATCAAACAACTTAAAACATTTCTTTCGTTCTCGTGTTTGATGGTCGATGTTTTGTCGTCTGGACAGTCGCATCAAACATGTTTGGCGTGCGCATGCGTACCACGCTTCCTGTACGATATTATTGAAGTATCCTTTCTCTTCTCTTCTCCTTATCCAGCCCCTGGTCTTCTCTCGTCTACTTTTCCTTTTTCCATCCTCCTCTAATATTTCAAGGATTATAGCAGCTACACTCTTCTTTAATTTGAACCTTTGAATCGCAACCTGTGAAGTCTCAGATTCCGTCATACTGAAATCTCGCCAGTGAGTGAGGTACGCTGGGTAATTTGTGGCCCATAGTTCTTTGCTAGTGGAGTTTGATCTGTGTTTGATCAAACATGCTTTAACCATTTGGCCACTCACTTCAACATCAACAAGTTTGGTCACCAAACAATGTTTGATGATTTTTGGTCACCAAACATTTCCCGTTTGGACAGGCCTTAACATTTAATTTCCTCGTTTTATCAATTTTAGGCGTTTTCGGCCTAGCTAACTGTCAGACATGTCTGCGATTCGCTAAAGCAGAAGAGATTTGTTTGTGTGGCTTCCGGTCGATAATTGACGTACTGACAACACGCGGAGTGTTCGCTTACTCATAATTATGGCCCAGTTTGTTTGAAGTTCAATCGATTCTTGATGAAGGAAACTTTCTTGATGAAGGAAACTCTTGTTCAGTCCATTTAGGACGATGCAGGCCTTTAGAAAGCTATAGTTCAGCTCTCCACCGAGGTTTTGATATATGTAAGTTAGTGCTGATTTAGACCGGAATTTCATGTTGAAAGCACTCTTAAATGAAAAGACGGTGAATTTAGTCTTCCTGGCCTCAAAAGTCATTACAGGAGAGTTATTTCTTTTTATTTGAGCCACGATAAACCTTGTGGCAAGCTAGCTCTAGGACAGAATTGTAGCAAGATTATCAGTGACAAAGTCAAATTCTGTGGCTATGTTTTAGCAAATACAGACAGATATATTTTTGGCTAATATAAACCTACTGAAATTACTCCATTACACAAACACAGGGAGACATTTACCTTATCTATATATCTCATCGCTCATATCAGATATATTGGTGCTTAACATGGGGTTAACCTCATTGCACCTTTCCCTCTTGGATTGTTATGAGAAATTGTGGCAGCCAGTCATAAAATTAAACTACCGTCAATTTTTTTCTTTTTTTTTTGCAATGAAACATGCCAAATTTACAATACTCCTGATCCGTGCAAAAACTAAGCAAACGTCAGCAGCCAAATCAAGCCTATACATAACATTTTGGTTACTACATTATGTTAGTTTTGGCTCTTGAACAGGCATGTAGGCCAGCTGGGGCAAAAACACAATACTCCGACAAGGAGCTTGTTCATAGACAACATAAATCTATGTGCAAAGTTTAAGGTCATACAGTGTGTGTGTATATATAAACATATACCATACACCAACCTTCTGAACATTCGGGATCACTACCCGATACCATTCCACTGGTTGTGGCATTGTCGGTAGAAGAGAAAACGTCTTCTGAAGTGTC